CACCAACTCAAAAAAAAAGAGAGAGAGAGAAGTGAAGCTTGTGAGGTTAGTGGCAATCAAGACCTCTCACACACTGAATTCAGCAAGCAATGGGGCAATCCTTATCTGTGTGTATACGTGACAGTCTCACTAGTGATTGGTGGGGACACAGCGGGCAGCAAGGTGCACACAGCGCCCGCTGCTGGAGGAGGGCTGGCCATGAGCCAGCAGCCCAGTGAACCAGACAGCATCAGGAACCACATGCTGCTGAGGTGGGGGAGCAGTGCACAGAACAGAGGAAGTCCAGGCTTGGGGAATCCTAATAGGTACCTCTGAGGAGAGGGTACTGGAGCCAAGACCCAAAGGGCCAGGGAAGCCTGCCCGTTTTGCCTGTGTGAGCATCAGTGGGTGTGGGGCCCCCGCCCACTGTCCTGTCCCCACAGTTACTGCAGAGAGGACACAGTCCTCTTCCCTCCTTCACCTTGGCATGCTTCAACCTGTTCCAAGTCAGCATTTTTTTTAGGCTAATGAAACAAACTAGTGTAAAAAGGCAAAAGGCCTGTCTGGGCTGGCCAGACACCAGCTGTCCCCAAAGCCTGGAATTCCTGCACTCTCTGCCCCCTGCGGCCCCTTCCCCCACGTTTAGAAATATCCGCAGCTGCCCACCCCATTCCTACCCCCAAAGGCCCAAAGGGCTCAAGTTTCCATTTCTAGAAAGGAGAGCTGCTGCCCCTGGAAGCTGACTTGGCTTCCCAAGGTAGGGGGTGGGGAAGAGGTGGGGGAGACAAGGACACTCAGGGCTTCCTCATTGTCTTCAGCTTCTGCAGTTTCTCAGAAGGCCACCCCTTGCCTCCCCACCCTCCTGACTGAGAGCCTGGCCTGCTTCCCCAGGGTTCCCCAGGGTTCCCCAGGGGAAAGGATCCCCTCCCTCCACAGGTGAGGTTGGATTGCAGAGGAGAGGCCCTAGGACAGGGCTGCCCACCACAAGCACCTGCTCAGGGTCGGGTACAGGAAAAGTCTCCTGCCTAGGCCTCTGGCAATCCTCAGCCTTCCAGGATGGGTATTTTTGTCCCCATTTTGCATAAGGAAGATCATTTTCTTTTCATTTTGTTGAAACGGGGCTCTTGTGATATTGCCCAGGCTGGTTTCAAAGTGCAGATAGATCCGCAGTTGGGTGGTGGAGGTGTGCCATCAGAGGTCTGGTGATCCCCCCCCAGAATGCCTGGCCCTGTGCTTGCCTGACCACCCATGGAGTGCAGGCCAACAGTGAAGGATGGTCAGGCTGCTGTGACAGGGGCAGGTGGGGGAAGGGTAGGGGGCTCCAAGGCCTTCAGACCCAAATGTCAGGGTGAGACCCCCCACACCAGGCAGAAGCAAGGGAACAGGGGAGGGGCCATGAAGGTGCTAACCTCCCCCTTCTGCTGCCCTGTCTGCAGACCATCCGCTTTCCCCAGAGCCTGCAGGAGCCAGTTTGGCGGCATCCCAGCAAGAAACTGTGACATCATTGGGCCAGTTTACGGTCTAGGTTCCTCAGAAATCACAATAGCCACTGGGCCTGGAGGGGAGGCTCAATGGAAGTCCGGGCCTTTTATCCTCAGAGTATGGCTCAGCTCAGTGGGGGCAGGTGCAGGGGTAGGGAGGGATAGGCCGAGCGGTAGGGCCAGGCTCCAGCAGGGCAGTGGGGGTTATACTCAGAGTCCACAAGTGCAATCGGAGCAGCATTGCTTCATCCTGCCTCTGAGCTCCACAAAACCAAAGGGGAAGTGGGCTGGGGTCAGGAAAAGAGCAGGGGCTGACCTGGGGTCACAGCACAGGGGGGTAGGAGGCCATGCTGCTCAGAGAGGAGGGGACCCTGGTCACCCTGTCCCTGCCAGGGGTGCAGACAGAGTGGCCCCTCCAGTGGGAATCCTTGGCTTCTCCATTTCCTCCAAAACCTCCTTTTTGCCAAATCAGTCATTGGTTTTCTGAAGTCAGGCTTACTGGCCTTTTTAAAAATTAATTATTTTAGAAACGGAGGTGTTGCTATGTTGTCCAGGCTGGACTTGAACTCTTGGGCACAAATGATCCTCCCACCTCAGCCTCTCCAGTAGCTTGGACTACAGGTGTAGGACAACACGCCCGGCTTCACAAATGTACTGGCTTTAAATCCTAATCCTACTTTGATCTTGCTGGCTGTGTGACATTAAGCAGGTTACTTAGCCTCTCTGACTCTCAGTTTCCCTAGCGGCAACGTGGTCCCTCCCTCATAGGACTGTGGGGAGGATTCAAAGAGGTGAAACTTGCCGGGCTCGGTGGCTCAGCCTGTAATCCCGCACCTTTGGGAGGCTGAGGTGAGTGGATTGACTGAGCCCGCGGGTTCGAGACCCGCCTGGGCAGTGAGACCTCATCTCTACAATAAACCAAAAAATTAGCTGGGCGTAGTAGTGCACACCTGTAGTTCCGGCTACTCGGAAGGCTGAGGCGGAAGGATCACCGGATCCCAGCAGGTCGAGGCTGCAGTGGCCGGGAGCGGCCACTGCACTCCAGTCTGGGTGACAGAGTGAGACTCCAATTCAAAAAAAAAAAAGAGGTGAAACTTGGCTGGGCATATACAGCATCAGCTCTTGTTAGAGGAGGCCTGATATACAAGCTCTGCCCTGGGAAAGGGGCTAACCCTGGGCAATAACTGGTTCTGCTCTAGGACTCAGCTGAGGGCTGTGGCAGGCTCAGATGGAGCAGATGGGCAGCGCTGGGAGGCCTTCCTGGGAGGGGAGATGCTGGAGGAGCTGGGCCAGCCAGTAATAGACAGAGAAGCAAGTAGGAAGTCAGAACCGAGGAAAACCACCGCCGAATCACTGAGCACTAATTTAGGCTCTTAGCAGGCACCCAGCCTTGACCCCACAGCTGGGAGGCTGGGGAGCAGGAACCCCCAGGAGAAGCAGAAAGTTGAAATCCCCCCAGAGAGCAATTAGGGGGTGACTCAGGCGGGTGCATCATTAAGGGAGGGGAGCAGCCAGTAGGAAACAAGGCTGGTGAGCCACAGACCAGGCTGGGCTGTCTCCAGGTTAAGAGCAGAAGACAAGGAGGCCATGAGGCAGCCATCCAGGTGGCTGGTGGCCAGAGTGGTGACCCAGAAGGACATGAGCCCACAGGGAGTGGAAGGCCAGCCAAGGCAGGGACATGGAGGGGGCTGAGGTTGGCTCCGAAGGGACCCATGGAAGGACCACAGACACCCAGGCCTAGCCTGGTCTCAGAGCAGGGAGAGTTGAGAGTGCCCCAAGGCTGCCAATGACCCCCATTTTACCAGGCTGCAGTAGTCTGGGCCTGGGAGTGTGGCCTAGGGTGATTGCTAGCTGGCCTGGGTTCAGGTCCACGCTAAACCCCAGGCTGGGGGGTGGGGTCTTTATTCCTCTCCAGTACCCAGGGCTAACAGCACAAGTCCTGATCATGGAGCCTAGGGCTGGAGGGACAACCCATGTCCACTGTTCCCCTCCCCTGCATACACATTCCAGAGGAACTGGCTCTGAATCAGCCCCTCTGAGACGGAACATCACTCCTGCTTCCCTTTTCTGCCCCCGCCCTCCAGCTGCCTCTCACCCAGTCCCCTGAGCAGGCTCCTGGCCTTGTTCCCACCAGACCCAGAGTGGGCCCGGTTCATCCAGCTCTCTGCCTTGGGTCCCAGGAGAGGACACAAGACCCCTTTTCCCTCCTGGCAGCAGCTCTGCACTCGGGAGAACGTGCCCCTGTAGGGGAGGCAGGGCCGGGGCCTCAGGCCACTTCTGCAGATTTTTCCAAAGGCCTGTCTCCTACGCCTCCGGGGAAACCTAGCCAAAGCCTTTCGGGGCGGCCCTGTGACCCGCGATTCCATTTTTTGGAATTAATCTTGGGGCCCAGGCAGGGTGTTCCCAGAGCAGTCTGCAGTGTCGAAATGTCCACGGCCAATATCCTGGTAGAGGACTGGGCAGCTATCCAACGGCCAGCATCCCGTGGACGCCCGGGCTGCGAAGAGGGCGGGTGACAGGGCGGTGCCTGAGTCCCGCCCTTCACTGGGGTGTGTTTGGAGAAGACCTAAAGGCCCTCAGGATCATGGCAGCGAGGCCACGGCGGCCGATGGGTCGGAGCACTTTTGCTTTGTGCCGTCTTGCGATCTCTTCGGCAGGAGCACAGAGGATCGCACCAGCGGAGTCTTGCGAGGGAAGACCAGGCAACGTCCTCTGGAAGGCCCGGGAAGGGCAGCCCGGCGCCCCCAGGATGCCGCGCGCGGAGGGGCGGTGCTAGTGACGTCATCAGCAGGCGCGGAGCCGGAAGTGTGTGGCCGCCGCCGCACGTCGCCGAGCCACGTGTGGAGCCCTGGAGCGGGAGCGTCGGGGTGAGACTCCGCGGGGCCCATGATGGCAGCGCGTGGGTGAGGGTCGCCCTGCCAGGCGCAGCGTGCAGAGCCTAATCCCTCCAGCCTCTACCGGCCCGGCCGTGTCCCTCCTGGCCGCTGCACCGGCTGGGCCGCTGTTTGCGTTGATGGACCGCTCTGCGTCGCTAGCTCCTGCCTGGGGAGCCCTGATCACTCCTGCATCCTCCTGCTGCCTGCCTTGGGGGAGGTTGGGGGAGGAGGACCCACGAAATCAAGCCTGGCTCGGAGGTGGCCACTTGCCGCTCCTCCTCTGACGGGTCCCTCGCAAAGGCCGCTTTCTCGTCCCATACCATACCTGGGGGTGGGAACCAAGCACCTGAGAAGGGTGATGGGGGGTCGGGCCCTTTTTTTGTGCAAATGCTTGGGCCCGGCCTCAGTCTCTTCATCTCTGATTTGGATTAATTGTCCAGTCTACTGTCCTAGACCAAGAAGGGTTCCACATGCCCTGCCAGAGTGCAGTCCTGCCAGAGGGCAGTCCCACTGGGCTACTCTGTACACAGGTAGTAATAGGGGCCGACCTAGTCACAACCCCTCCCCCTCTACTCAAGACCTAGGTATCACAGCCTTCCATCCAGACCCTAGGTCCACATCTTCCCTCCCCCAACCAATTCATGCCTCCCACACACCCCTCCCTAGGTCCCTGGCACTAGCCAGATATTGACACTATGAGCTTCGTGGCATACGAGGAGTTAATCAAGGAGGGTGACACAGCCATCTTGTCGCTGGGCCATGGCGCCATGGTTGCAGTTCGTGTGCAGCGTGGGGCACAGACCCAGACCCGGCATGGCGTCCTGCGGCACTCAGTTGACCTCATTGGCCGCCCCTTTGGCTCCAAGGTGACATGCAGCAGAGGTGGCTGGGTGTATGTGCTGCACCCCACACCCGAGCTCTGGACGCTGAACCTGCCACACCGCACACAGATCCTCTACTCCACGGATATCGCCTTGCTCACCATGATGCTGGAGCTCCGGCCCGGCTCTGTAGTCTGTGAATCTGGTGAGTTCCTCAGGCTGCATCCATTTAACTCAGAAACTGACACTAAGGTGGAGGTCAGACCCCATGTCCCCACAGCCTCCAGCCTGTCCTTCCTGCAGACAGATGTGGCTACTCCATTTCTATTTTCACAGTGTCTTTCTGGGGTGCTGACAGCAGAGTGTGAGAGCTGGGGGAGGGAGGTCCCTTAGGAGGCTGCTGCTGGAATCTCAAGGAGAGGTGGTGGGAAATGACCTTGGGGTAGCCAGGGAGAAGCTGGTGCCCCAGGCAGGATCCTGCCTGCCTAGGTGGGGCAGGGGCAGGTTGTTACTTGGAGCTGGCCAAGGTGCTGACTGTCAACCCCTAGTCTCTGTGCTGCTGATGGGCAGTGTTATTCCTCGTGGAGGGAAGCCAGCGCTATTCCAAAGAACCTGTTGTAGGTGGGGAGTCTCCCCCATCCTCATCCATGGCCAGATCCTAATCTACCACGCATGAATGTGAGCACTGTTGTTGCTGAGCCCGAGGCTTAGGGTGTGGGTATGGACTCCCCCCACATATACTCAGATGCTGACACCACCTGGGGTGACAACTGGAGCTGATTGGCCCCTTGTCCAGATGCAGCTATATTTCTGGAAGCATGTTCCTGATGGGGTGGGGAGCTGGAGTCAGGGTCATGAAGAGTTCCTAGTACCACTGCCACTGATTTTTTGTTTTTGTTTTTGAGTTGGAGTGTCACTCCATCGCCCAGGCTGGAGTGCAGTGGCATGCATGCTCATGGCCACCCCATTGTCGACCTGCTGGGCTTCAGCGATCCTTCCACCTCAGCCTTCCAAATAGCCAGAACTACAGATGCGCACTACCACGCCCAGCTAATTTTTTATTTATTGTAGAGACAAGGTCTCACCAAGTTGCCCAGGCTGGTCTCAAACCCAAGGGCTCAAGCAATCCACTCACCTCGGCCCTCCCAAAATGCTGGGATTACGGGCTGAGCCACCAAGCCTGGCTGCCACTGATGTTTTGAGGACATCAGGCCATCACACCCCCTCTGGGATACCTGGGGGTAGCAGTGGAGAGCAGGACGCAGAGCTGGCCCCATCAGCGGCTTCCATGTGTCCTGTGTGGTGTGCTGGTCTCTCTTGGGCCTTCGTTCCCTTCATATGAAAGAGTTCAGTCAGTCAACTTGGTTGTCCTGGTTCCTGTGATGTGCCAGGTCCCCTCCCAGGAACCAAGAACAAGGCAGGTCTGACCCATGATTCCTCAGGGGAGGGGACAGACAATAAGCCTGGGTGATCACTGTGTGTTGATTACTGTGAAGCTTGTGAGACAGGAAACACATCTGAAGGGGACTCAGAGTAGGATCCATCTAGGTAGGGCAGGCAGGGAAGACCTCTCTGAGGAGGACACATTGAGCTGAAAATGATGAGGAGGTACCTACGAAGGGCTAAAGGACATTGCTACACCAGGGGAGAGCTGTGCAAAGGGCCTGAGGTGGGAGCATGTTGCCAAGGCAGGGATCAGTGAGGAGACCAGTGTAGCTAGAGTAGTGGGTGATGGCAGAGGAGCAGGAGATAAGGGTGAGAGGAAATGGGGGTTTATTTGGAGAACTCTCCCCTGAGCGGGAAGGGGAGCATAGCCAGGCTGTGTGGATGGGAGAGGTGCCATCTGATCAAGGCTGGAAAGAATGCTGCTGGCTGTGTGGAGACAGATTGAAGGTGGCCAGTGTGGCTGTCACAGAGTGCCAAGGGAAGGGTGGGTAGGTGTGGCGGGCAGGTGGGGAGAAGAGGTGACCCCTGGAGAAAGTCGAGAGGTGGCATGATGTGGATGGAGAACACGGGAGTGGCAGTGCCCCTGCGGGTCTGGCCCAAGCAGCAGGTGTCTGAAATGAAATGAAAATGAATGAAATGAAAGCTTGGGAATGAAAGCTTGGCAGGGAGCAGGCTTGGGCTTGGATGGCATCCAGCTTTGCACTTGTTAACACAAACGTTGCCTCGGTGTTGAAGGGGAGGTGGTGACTGTGCAGTAGATGCTACAGCAGGACTGGAAGGACATGGGGCCTGGAGTCATCATCAAGTGGGTAACACCTGAAGCTTGAGGGAGTGGTCACTGGGTGGGGGAAGGATGTAGGCTGTGGCCCAAATGCTACAGTAAGGAAACTGAGGAGGAAAGTAGGGACAGATGGTGTCAGGGAGGATGCCCTGGGCCCTGGAGTGTGACTGGGCTAGAGCAAGAGTTGTGCCTTGTGTGGTGGGGGTGAGTTTGGGCTGGCTTGTGGGGTGGGCTGACTTGAGTGGACCATGGAGCTCACAGGAAGAGATAGGGTGAGAAGATAGGCAGGGTGGGCCACTGTCAACAGGGATCAGCCACTTGTGGAAGACAACGGGGCTGAGATATGGGACAAGGCTTCTTGGTCCTCTGCACAGACTCACCGCAAGGCCTGGATCCAGTCGGGGTCCTCTCAGCCCACTGTGTCTGCATCGTGTTGGGACTGGGCAAGGCTGCACTGCCTGGCCAGTCCCCACACAGACATGGCTGGTCTCCCCATTAGCCCAAACACAGCCTCAGTGTCCCAAACCCAGGACTCTAGGTCGCCAGGACCAGACACCTCAGAGCAACACCCACTTGTAGCCCCGAGGTCTCCAGGGTGGGGTTTTTCTGGGGGCCATGGGCCCCGAACAGTCCCACCTGATGCCCATCCCCTCTCATCCCACCAGGCACTGGCAGTGGTTCCGTCTCCCATGCCATCATCCGCACCATTGCACCCACAGGCCACCTGTACACGGTGGAGTTCCACCAGCAGCGGGCAGAGAAGGCTCAGGAGGAGTTCCGGGAGCACCACGTAGGCCGCTGGGTGACCGTGCGCACCCAGGATGTATGCCGCAGTGGCTTCGGCGTGAGCCACGTGGCCGATGCCGTCTTCCTGGACATCCCCTCACCTTGGGAGGCTGTGGGCCATGCCTGGGATGCCCTCAAGGTGGAAGGTACATTGGGGGTTCTGGAAGGGATACAACTTGGAGGAGTCCAGCTGTGGGGCCGAGCTCCTGGGTCTGGCCTGGCTCCAGATTGTCTGGGGACTCAGAGAGGTCAGAAACCTCCAGGCCACACAGCAGCAGTGGCCAGGCAAGGGCCCCCCTTTGGCCTGAGCAGAAAGTGGATCATCACTCCTATCTTGGGGTATCGGGGTTGGGGAGGATGGACCCAGCTCCTTGGCTCTGCCCCATCCCCACCCCAGGATGGGGTGATGCCTGAGGCTCCTGGAGAATGTGGCAGCTCCGTTGAGAATGTGCAGAGAGGCCCAGGTCAGCAGCCCGCTGCCCCAGCCATCATCTTCTGCAGTCTCCCCTCCCCCTAGCTGTGCTGAGGAAGCTGGCCCCTTTTAGGGAAGACGCGGGGTGCGGAGGCGGAGCAGCCCATGAAGGTCGGCTCCAAGCCAGGAGGGCTGGCGAGGCCCAGGGTTTTTCCCTTTTCTGGAGAAGGAGCAACTCTGGCAGCCAGGACCTTCTCTCCTCCCAGCTGAGCTGCTGTGCAAGAGGGCAGGACAGGTGGGGCGGGGTGTCCTGGGAACGGCTGGGGTCCTTTGCCTGTTGGCTCTTGCTTGACTCTGGACTTCTTCATCCCTGGTCTCTGCTGAGGTGGCCTGGGGCTGGGGAAGGGGCAGCCACTGGAGTTCCCACGCCTCTACCCCTCCAGCTTTGTGCTGTACACCTGGGTTTCCCTTGCTCTGGGGATCCTGGTGGGCCCAGCCCCCAGTCCCAGGGAGGCCAAGACCAGGCAGAGTCCCACTCTCTGGCCTCCCCCTGCTGCTATGACTCCTTGCTCATGAATGGCCCTGTCCCATATTCCTGGGCTCTTTCCCCAGCTCTGCTTTTTCTCTGTCCAGAGGCTCTTGACTTATTCATGGTGTGGCGTCTCTGGAGGCTCGTCTGCCTGCCATGTGAGCCCTGGAGGGAGGTGTGTACTATGCTTGGCCCGGGTGACACGGGACACTGTCCTCTAGCTTGTGACAGGACATAACTGAGGGGACCAGGCCTCAGGGACACTTGAGGACTTGTGGGACCACACACCCCTTTCCCACAGCCTCCCACTGGCATGGGAACCTGGACTCCCACTCCCTCTGGGCCAGGCTGAGCAAAGCCCTCTGGCTGCCTGGTGGGAGGTGGCAGGGAGGGGTTGTCATGCTTCATCAGGCTCTGCTTAGAGTAGGCGCCTCCTGTTCCCAGGAACAGTGACAGCCTCTAATTTCCTGTGACAGCAGCAACCCCATCCCTAGGAACCCAGGCCCACGCGCCTGCCCTGTGCTGCTCCACTGTCAGAGTTGCTCCCAGCCCAGTACTCTCATGGCCGTGCCAGTGTGGCCTCACCCTGGACCGCCCTGCAGAAGGCAGGATAGTGGTGCTACCACAAGCCAAGTGAGAACAGGATGGCATAAGCCTGGCCTAGTGCCTAGCGCACTTGCAAGCTGGGTCCTTGTGTCCAAGCTGGGCGGTATGAGCCCCAGGAGGGACCTTGGCACCAGAGGGACCTTGCCCCATGGTGGGCCATCAGGTGAGGGCCAGCCCTCTGCCAGCTCCTCAGTCTTGCGGTCCCAGCTCTCCCTGGCATGAGGGCTTGGAGCTGTGTTCGGTCCAACTTAGGTTAGACCTCAGGGCAGGGAACCAGGGATGCCAGGGCCAGGTAGGTAAGCCTCTGGGGACTGTGCCGTCCCTCTGCCCACTGACGTCTGTGTCCTGCTGTCCCCACAGGTGGGCGCTTCTGCTCCTTCTCACCATGCATCGAGCAAGTGCAGCGCACGTGCCAGGCGTTGGCGGCCAACGGCTTCACAGAGCTCAGCACCCTGGAGGTGCTGCCACAGGTCTACAATGTGCGTACCGTCAGCCTGCCCTTGCCTGACTTGGGAGCCAGCAGAGGCCCCCCCACTGGCCCTGACGCCAGCTCCTTCCGCAGTGGCACACCCATGAAGGAGACAGTGGGCCATACTGGCTACCTGACCTTCGCCACCAAGACCCCAGGCTAGTGCTGCGCCCGGGAGCACGGAGAACTGGGAGCATCCGGGAGCTAGGAGCACAATAAGGCCAGGCAGGGAGGCCAGAGGCCTCCTTATATGGTCAGCGGACGCCTGCTGGGGCCTGCCTATAAAACAGATGATGGGCGGGGCTTGGGAGCCTCCTGGGTGGCCTGAGTGGGACGGAGGAGCAGTGTCAGGGCCTGGGCCTCGGCCACTCCTGTCCTGGGGAGGGAGGGTGTTGCCCCATCACTGCCAAGCTCCACGGCCATCCTGGCTGTTGTTTGTTGCCAACATGAAGTCTCCACTGCCACAGGCTCTCCTGGGTGCTAAAGCTGCGGGTGTGGGTGGGTTCTGAACCCCTTGCAGGTGGGCCCGAGCTGGAAGGATATGGAGGAGGGGGCTGGAGCCCTGTCCCCAAGACCACGCTGCATCTGACTCCTGGGCCCTCATGGCCCTGGCTGCCCCGGGGACTTGTGCTCATTGGATCCCTGGGCCAGGGCTCCAGCTGTGGGTGGTCCTGGACCTGGCTTGAAGCTGGGGTGGGGCTGACCCAAGAATCCTGCCCTGCCCAATGTGGAAGGGGACCAATCTGGCCTGGGACCAGGGGAGGTGACCCTGTTCTCTACCTCCAGATACTGCCCAGGCCTGTGTGTCCCCTCAGGTCCTGCCTACAAAAAAGCCCTTGGTATGGAGCAGCAGAACATATCACTTCCTTTGAGTGGCCCAGCGGTCCGTGCTGGAGCCAGGATGTGAACCCCAGCCTGTGAATCCAACCTACTCTGGCAATCCCCTGTGGCAACTCAGAGTCATGGAGAAGGCCCACCCACAGGGACAGGTATAGGGTAGTGGAGCTCACTGCCTCCCAGAGATAGTGCCTTTGTCACCACCTCATGAAGGCTAGGGGTATCTCTCAAGGCAGGGACACGGAGGGTGGGATGTGCTGGCTGGAACACTCGTCACCTGCACTCATTGCCCTGTGGCTCGGGCCTAGGTTCCCCTGAGGGGTGTAGAGTCATTGAGGGAGGACGAGTGCCCATGGAATGCCTGCAGCTGCCACTGGTGCACAGAGGACCTGGGCGTCTCTAGGCAGTTAGCCAGCCATTGGGAACCTGTTTCCCTTGTATTGGGATGGGAACATCAGGTACTGTGCTGCCGGGGGACTGGGCCCCAAGAGTGATGAGCAATCAACATGCTAGCCCCACTGGGATGACAAGTCCCCTGGCTGCTTGACAGGCTGCCCAGCAGGGTCCAGGCCAGCCCTCCCTAGTTCTTGGCCCTCTGGCCTCTGCTTTCTCTCCCAGTCCTGGGGTGGGCACCATGTGGGCTCTCGCCTCCAGGACAAATGGGCAAGTATGTGGCCACCCCTGTTTGGCTGCAGAAATGGCTACTTGTCTCTGGGACTTGAATCCAGTATGGGCACCTGGGCCACCTCCCATGCTCTCCTGAAGGGCCCAGGTTGTACCCATTAGTGTGGTTTTCTTGGTGGTGACACCTGGCAGCCAGGTCCCTGTGAAGTGTCACACCGTGGGTCACCTCAGGCTGGGGTTAACATGGCCTAGGAGGCCTCTGTCCCCTGAGAGTCTCTCAGCATCCCCAGAACCGAAGCTCTGCTCCTGGGGGTTTGTCCCCTTTCCAGGATGTAACCTGACCCTTAACCTCATGCCTAGCCTGGGGGACAGAAGAGGGGCCCCAGGCCAGGTTCAACATGAAGTGGGCAACCCCTGCTGGGAGCTCCTGGGGATCAGGGCTGTGCCAGGGTGTCATAAGTGGGGTAGTTGCACACCCCTCTGGTGCTGGGTTCCCTAGGCCTGCCCTGACCTGCCTTGCCTGACCTCATCTCCCTGACCTTTGGGCATATCTCTCCAGGGTTTGCAGAATGCAGGGCTTGGGGCCTGCAGGGTCCAAGTTGTGCCCATTTCCAAGGTGGGACTGGCAGCCCCAAGTGGGTCACCAGGGCCTGCATGGGGAGAGCTGGAGAGGCAAGTGGGGCTGGGGGCCTGGGTCCCTGCCCACTCTCAGTTGTCATGTGGGACAGGGCGGCTCTCTGGATCAGGTTCCCTGTAGCCCCTTGGCTGTGCTGCTCAGCCCCACGTCTTATCTGAGTCTTCAGGCATCCAACTCACCCCAGATGGCTCCCCCAGACCTCACCTCACTCCCTTGGCCTGGAGCCCCACCTGGCCCTGAGGCAGCAACGAGCTCCTATGTGTCCTTCAAGAACCCACTCAAATGTTCCTTCCTCAGAATGCTTTCCCAGGCAGGAGTGTCTTGCACTCCTGCCCTCCACTCCCACACAGCCCATGCTGAGACTCCAGTGGGCCTGCCCCAGCCTGGAAGCCCCCACAGCAGAGGCGTGGAAGGCACAAAAGTGCCCCAGTTTTTTTTGAGTTGGAGTCTCACTCCGTCGCCCAGACTGGAGTGCAGTGGCCGCTCCTGGCCACCGCAGCCTCGACCTGCTGGCCTCCGGCAATCCTTCCGCCTTAGCCTTCCAGGTAGCCGGAATTGCAGGCATGCGCTACCACGCCCGGCTGATTTTTTTATTTATTGTAGAGATGAGGTCTCGCTGCCCAGGTGAGTCTCGAACCCGCGGGCTCAGGCAATCCACTCACCTCAGCCTCCCAAAGGCGGGGACTTACAGGCTGAGCCACCGAGCCTGGCTAGTGCTCCAGTTCTATAGATGGGAAGCCTGGCTCCAGAAAGGCAGAGCCAGGCCCACAGCCAGTGAGTGGCCAATCATCAGGTCCCTGATGGTCACCTCAAGACAGCAGCATGGGGCTTGTCACGGGGTGAAGATTCATCGGAAATCCCAGGCCCAGCCGACACTCACGCACCTCTGACACTGTTTTTCCTTGGAAATCCCTCTGCCTCACCCAGTGCTGAGTGGCCGAGACAGCTGCACTTCTGACAGGGCAGGCCCAGAGACAGCAGCCTACTCTGCAGGCCCCAGACCTGAATCCTGCCCCACAGCCAAGATCAGAGTCACCTGTGCTGGGTCCTGGCTCCAGCCATATCTCTTGGGAAGCCTCCAGGCCTTGCCTTCTTCATGACTCCCACAGCCCCCATGGGAGCTGCTTCTGGGCCTTGCTGTGCCCGCTTCACCTGCTTCCGAGGTCCCAGCCCCTTAACCAACCTAGGGCTGCAAGGACCAGGGGCCGGGGCAGTGTTTGTGGTAGGTGGGTGGTATGAAGGACACCAGCCACTGGGCGCATGCCCTGTCTAGCAGAGTGTGATGAGGAGAGATCCACCCATCCCAGTTCTGCCTCCTGGGCCCCTCACACCTGCTGTCTAGGTCTCCTCTTCCCGCCACCTCCATTGCCTCTCAGCCTGCCCACCTCTGACCTGCATGCTGGAGGGAAGGTGGGCTGCCTGGGGACCCCAGCCCAGCCCGCTGCACAAGTGGAGGAGCTGAGGCTGAGAGGTGAGACTCATTGGAATCCCGGCCATAAATGGCTCTCCAGAGTGTGACCACAGAGGCCAGAGGGGAGAGGGTTTTCTGGTGCAGTTTTGGAAGACTCAGAAGAGGGTATGTCTGTACAGGTGGAGTGGATGGCCCTGAGAGGATGGGATGGGAAGTGCCCCAGAAGCAGGATGTGGGGTGGACATCCTGCCCCTGGGCTGGTGAGTGCCATTTCCAAGGCTGCTGTAGGCAGGGTGGTCACTGGTTGCAGGGCTGTTGGACTTGCATGCCATCCTAGAGTGTCCTGCTCCTGGTGGTGTCCAGGTGCGAGTGTCCTCAGGGAGGTGCCTCGCTCCAAGTCCTGGCTCCTGATGCCCCAGAGGGAGCAGGTGGGTAGGGCTGGCTGTACCCAGTTCTCGGGGCTCTGTCCTCACCAGCTGCTGGGTGGGTGGCCTGAGGACCCACATGTGCCAGGCCCCACCCATTCAGCGCAGCCCAGGTCTGTCCTGGAGACTCCCAGGAGCCAGGCACAGAGCAGGGTCAGGTGTGGTGGGGCTTGAACCAGTGTGGTGGGTGGGGTGGAGCAGGAGTGGGCCTTTCTGTCCTGGGGACTGCATGCAGTCCATTCCTGGATGCTGACAGTCTCAAGAAGTTGCTTCCTGAGGCTGCCCAGTGGGCTGGTGGCAGACAGCCTGGGCTGTGGCCCGTTGACCCAGGGCCTGTGTCTGGGGGTGGGCCCTACACATCGTGGGTGGGTTGTCTGCAAACCCAGGAGTGGGCCATGGGGTCGGCCTGCTGGTAGCCTTGCCAGGTGCATGCCCTCTCATGCCGAGTCTGTGTGCCCAGGGTTGCCTGTGTGGCTCAGCCTGGCGGCCGGGACGAGGGCGTTTCAAAGTCAGGCTGCCTCCGAAGCGGCAGCGTTGGCGGGAGGGAATAACTCGGCTCCCACCAGGCTGAGAATAGCTCGGAATTGGGTCATGCTCACCGAAAGCTCCGGTCACAGCCTCCAGCCTTTGACAATAATCAGCTTTCTCCCCGACATCTGTCCCTTCAAAGAGGGGGCAGGCCAGCGCAGACACATTTATAGAAAAAGCAAAGCAGAGGGGCAGTGGTGAGGGGAGACCTCCCTCACCTCCAGCATCCCTGGGCTGCCCCTCGCCGGTCTCAGCCCCTACCCCATCGCAGGCCACCTCCATCCCTCCTGCCCACCCCTATGCTCCCCTTCCCTCCCAGGCCCTTCCAGCCTCTTGCATAGGGCCAGGTGGCAGAAGCAAAGCATCAGGGTGCCCCTCATGGGTGAGGATGCTGGCGGGGTCAGCTGGGGATGGAGCCTGTGCCCTGCACCCCTTCCTCCCCTGCATCAGTGGCCTGTGCGCCACTGCTCAGAGTCCCCTTCTCTGACCCCCTCCAATCCCCTCCTGGGCTCTTCTGCCTTTTAATGTAGTTAAAGAGGACCGTGGGGAGCAAGCCCCCTGCCTTGCTGGGGATTCTGGGGGCTTGTTTCTCCGGACCCAGAACCTCACCCCATGTCTTCTTATTTCCTACCTGCTTCTTCCTGAATCTTACCCTCCTCCTCCCAGAGCAGTCTTGAAGGGACTGAGGTGGGGGACATCACCTGGGCATGCAACCACCAGGGGGTAAATAAGGTGCTAAAGCCATCCTCATAAGAACATAGTGGGTGCCTCCCGCCCAGGCAGATACTCCCGCCACGTGCAGGCAGTCTGGCTTTGGCTTGGGTTTGGACTTTTCAATCTTTACACACCCACAAGGCAGTTGTCTCATGTCCAGGTGACATCATTCTTAAACTTCAGCCACAGGTATTATTCATGAGATGCCCAGGAAGCTGAGGTTCTCAAAAGGTGGCCCCTGGAGCGGCCACTTATTCGTGGGGAACTCAGGGAAGGGGCAGAGCATCA